TGAAAATGTTCTTATTTGGAAGCTGCCCTTGTGCTCGAAACGAAAAGTATTCGATGGGTGTATGCTATCAATGCTTAGGGTACGAAATAAGAGCCCTAAGCCTGAAAGCTGCTCATAAATTGTAGACTTCGCAAAGCTGCAAAGAAAGTTGCTTATTAGGAATAATAAGAAAAGATAGGAAGACGAAAGAATGAGTAAGAGCAATCTGCGTTGTCACTGCTCGAGCGAAGTATGACGTTAGACTGGATTCCAAGAGAGAGTAAACAGCTCCCGCCCACAGGAAAACCTTCGGATTGATGACTGAATGAGTTGAAAGACTGCTGGATCAAGACGTATGAAACTGACAGAGTAGACGTTTACGGCAAAATCTTGGAGAGGCCTTCATCCAACAGTGAATTAACAAAGGCCGGTGACGACAAGCTTCACGAAAGCGCAGTTCCATAGAAGTCGTTCGTAATAAAATTTTAAAGGATAGTGACATTCAAAAGGCCAAATTTTCTCTTTTCCGTTGAGATGTAAGGCAAAATGCGCAATTTCACTTCAATCCTGTGCGATCTTCATAACAAGAATTATGATTAGTTTACTGTTGGATGATGTCCTTCCAACGTATTTTTGTTCCCATCCATTTCGATCTGACAGCCAAACCCTGTGGCACAGTTTTTCCAAGCCATGGTCGCCTATTTTAATATCATGGCCAAAATATTTTCATTCATTAGCTTCTCTTGCATGCTTCAAAGTTATATTTTGTCGTCCTGGCAAACAGATAAAATCGAAACAACAGCTTAAGCTAAACTGGAATCAAACAGAAATATTTAAACGTCTGAAGCAAATCTAAAAATTTACACTAATATCAAAACTACTATAAACTAGTTTATAAAGTTCTGAAGTAAAAGTCTTGCATACTCACTTCCCTCCCAAGTACAAAGCAAAAGATTGAGAGCTCCTTCGACTTGTTTCCAGTGATGAATATGCCAAAAAGCGTATGCCACTGCCTCACTATCACCACGTTTTAGAATATGCTCTGGTGGCAAAATAAGTGGCTTCATTTCAAGGAGATACTAAATACAACCTGTTCAGAATCGCACAGAAACAAGAACACAAAGATAGAAGCAGCATAACACTTATTTGCAATGTCGTTATTAAATTTTAGCTCCAAAAGTAGTTACACAACATACTTTAATAATTATTGCACAATACGTCTTATTAAAAAAATTTTATAAAAAAATGCACATTCGCAACTAAAATATGAATATTAACGAAAGCAAAAAACATAAATCACGAAATACTGACCACATGCTGACAAAAAACTAACTTTTGGCACATGAGGATTAAATTCAACGGCCTTATGAATAGCTTCAACGGCAGTGAGTTCAGCAGCACTCAGACCTTTTTTAGAAGCGATATCTGCTGAGAACCTAAAATCACAACCCATAAAAATGTTTAAACGTTAAGCGCTCGAAAAACTAGTGTAGTGGTTGCTTAAGAGTGAGACATGCTGAATGACCTGTAATTTATATTTTACGCAGCAAAATTCAATTCAAATAAACGAAACAGGACAGAAATAAAGCTGTTCACTGG